CTACGGAGTTTACATCTATCTTCTGATTTAGTAAAGGTTAAAGAACGCGTTGCAAACAGAAAAGCATAAATCAGTGCAGTCATTTTCTACTTGCTTGGCTTAGTTCAATTCATGTTGCAACATTGGCAAAAGAGTGTATTTTTAATTTAAATTATCCTATTAAGGAATTGAATGTTTGGATGTAAAAGGGCTTTTTTTTTCCGATTAATTATGGTTTCAGTCTCAGTCGCTATTTTCTCAGGATGTTATTCTACAACAATCATAAATTAAGTGCAAATTTATGGCATCAAATATGACAGTACATTTCATCCCTTCTGCCAATGAGAACTCATTAGGGCAGGATGTGTGTTGTAAAATAAGATATTTAGGGTATTTTTCTTAAGGTTCTAGGAAGTATTTTAACTTGACAATCGCTCCTAACCTTGTTAGTGATCATGATTGACTGCAGGCTGTGGTTTCTTATCTCCAGGGCGAAGAAGAAAAAAGATTGGTTTGGCAACACTTGGATTGACCAGTAGAACAATGAGAGGGTCTGAGGTGCTTGGTAAAGATATGAAAAGGAAAACTGAAGATTTACTCTGTTAGGAATGTATTTAGGAGCTTTTTAAAAACTGGTTCAGATTTCATGATCATCAGTTCTTCTGAATGGAAGCATGAGTTATTTGGATGTTACTACTTTACCAAGATCTTTTAAAAGACTCAAACAATCGCCCTCAGATGAGAGGATATTGGGTTGGATGTTCAGGACCATTCCAGGAACTACCAAGGCTCAAGCCTAGGGGTGCACCGATAAATCGGCCGGCCGATCGATCGGCCCCGATTTCCTTAATTTGGGGAGATCGGCGATCGGCCGATCTTTAAATGAGAAGCCGATTTTATCCACCGATCTTATCTGCCTCCGGAAAGGTCTGAAAATCAGCTGCTGTCCCCTTTTGCTCCACTGTGAGAGCTCACACACAGGTCACTCGGAGCAGCCATGTCGTCGGTTTGGAAGTTCTACGCTGTAAAAGAAAATGAGCCAAAGATCGCAATTTGCAATTCGTGTAAAGCCGAAGTAAGTCGTGGTGGAGCCACCACCAAAACCTTTAATACAACAAACCTCGTTCGCCATTTAAGAAATCACCACGCCGCCAAGTATGCAATGTTTGAAGAGAGCAACCAAGCTAAGGCTAATGCTAAAGCTAGCGCTAACAAAGAGGCAGTCGGTGGGTCGCTGTTAGCTTTTATGAGCAACGAAAAGAGCAAAGCTACCACGAGGAAAGTGATGGAGTTCATGGCATTAGACAACCAGCCATTTTCAGTCGTTGAGGACAAAGGTTTTAGAAGCTTGATGCAGCACGTGTGCCCACGATATAATATGCCGAGTCGGAAATATTTTTCTGATGTTGCATTACCGGAGTTGTTCAGCCAAGTTTCGAGAGACACCCGCAGCCTGCTAAAAGCTAATACAAATACACTCAGCTTTACAACAGACATCTGGACTTCTGATGTAAGTTTAATGTCCATGTTAAGTTTTACTGCACAGTGGATTGACGAACAGTTCGAACGTCATCAATTACTCTTAAACTGTAAAGAAATGGCGGGGTCTCACACTGCGGCCAATTTATCAGCAGAGTTTAAGGCGATGCTGAATCACTGGGAAATCGATCATGGAAGAGTTCACGTTGTTTTACGGGATAATGCTCGTAATATGGCCAAAGCGCTGGATGATATCAACCTGAAAAGTTTACCCTGCCTGGCGCACACACTGCAACTGGTTGTAAATGAGGGACAGCTGGCGCAGCGCAGCATCACAGACATGGTGGCAACAGGAAGGAGAATTGTTGGACATTTTAAGCATTCATCACTTGCCTATTCCCGACTTTATGACATACAGACACAGTTAGGTCAACCCAGGAAACGATTACAGCAAGACGTTTCAACGAGGTGGAACAGCACAGTCTACATGCTGCAGTCGCTGTTGGAGCAGAGACGTGCTATTGGCGTGTATGCTGCTGAGCACGAGTTACCAGCCACACTCACAGCACACCAGTGGGAGCTACTGGACAATGTGCTCACCATTCTTGCACCTTTTGAGGAACTCACAAAGGAGATTAGCTCATCAACAGCTACAGCAGCAGATGTCATCCCAGCCATCACTGCACTCAAGCGGATTTTGGAGAGGCAAGCGAGCACAGACCGTGGCGTGGGTACAGCCAAAGCTACGCTGCTGGAGGCTGTTGTGAGAAGATTCAGCAACATTGAGCATGAGCCCCTGTACAGCTTGGCCACTGTTCTGGATCCAAGGCAAGTAACTATTAACATTCTATTTTAGCCATAATGACTTTTAGCCTACTGCTATATTTCAACAAACATTTAAATTAAATTAAAAATAAAAATTTATTGATTGAAATGCATTTCTTTATTTACATGCAAGTCATAAAAACTGTTAATGTATACAAAACACAATGATTGACCCATCTTTCTTTGTTTATGCAAAACAAGGTACAAGAATCGCTACTTCTCAGCAGAGGTGAAAGATGACGTGAAACTGCTCCTTTTGACCAAACTTGCAGAGGGGGAGACCAGATGCACACCTGCTGCAGGAACATCCTCTGAAGTGGGACCTCCTGCTATAGATGAACCTGCAGCCAAAAGGCGTAGTCTACTGTTTGCAGCTCACGACGAAATCTTGAAGGAGAACATTGAACAGGAGCAACAGCTGGCCAGCCCTTCAGCTATGCAGGTACAGAACTACCTATCTGAGGTTCCTGTTGAAAGGAGCCAGGACCCATTGGTCTACTGGAAGATCAATGAAAATCGTTTCCCTCATCTTGCTCTACTTGCCCGAACCTATCTCTCTGCCCCATGCACAAGCGTTGAAAGCGAGCGCCTGTTTAGCTTGGCTGGACATGTAGTAGATGAGAAAAGAAGTCGCCTGTCTGGTGACAAAGCAGAAATGCTTTTGTTCATCAAGAAAAACCTGCCACTAATGAAAGTGACTGGAATAAGTCTGTGAGAACTAACTTACCAGTGTTAGTTCTTATTACCCACTGACTTGAAAATGTTACACTTGTTGCATTATCTTTTTTTTTTTTTAAATGTAACAAGTGAAAGAGTTGAAGGAACTGAACATTTTTTTTTAGTTAATTTTATAGTTTTAACAAAAATTGTGTAAACTTCATTTATATTTCAGAATACTACCTCATGACAAGTTAAAACAACAAGTTTGTATTGTTTCTAGGGTATTTTTCAAGGGTATGTTTTACAATAAAATAAGATTGGTAAATTGAAGGTGCATTGTGATCTTGTAACACCTGACACTGTTGCTTATAAAAAAAAATCGGTATCGGCCAAAATCGGAATCGGCAGTTCAGACTTTCAAAAAATCGGTGATCGGTGATCGGCCTGAAAATTGAAATCGGTGCACCCCTACTCAAGCCTGCCATGAACTGGACACCACTGGAACACAGAGCATCACTGTCCACAGTGAGGACAGTTTTTTACCTTCAAGCTCGAATGAAATCTGCAGTTGACCACATGGACCAGCAAGGTGCTTCTGGAGAAAGATTTTATACTCAATGATACAAAGATCGAGCTATTTGGACAAGAAGTATGAAGAAGTGAAAGTGAGGCTTCCAAGCACAAGAACGCTGTACCAACTCTCAAGCATGGTGGTGGTATACATTCTGTGGTACCGATACTTTGTGCAAAGTGGATGAAATGATGAAGGAAGACTAACTTCTACAACTTCACCTCAAATCAACTAAGAGTGAGTTTAAACTTGGACGCAGTTGGATGTTTCAACAGGACAACGATCTCAAACACACATCAGAACTAACTGATTCCTGGTTGTTTGAAACAGACTAATAATACTCTGGACTTCCCCAAACCCTGAGCTCAATGCAAACGGAACAAATTGTGGAATACAGTATTCTTTAAAGTTGGATCTGTATTAGAAAACCAACTACTTTATTCCATCACTTCTGTCACTAAGAATTCAGTTCAGTTTATTTATGTAGCTCCAAGTCACAACAGAAGTCATCTCAGGGTACTGTACAAATACATTAACATACATAAAATAATCAGTAACTTTATTTATCTAAGCTATGGCAGCCAGTAAATTGTGTTGAGTCTTCACTTCATCAGTCTCCCATGTTGAGCTAGCACAAAGGAAACAGTGGAAAGAAAAACTCCCTCAAAACAGCAAGAAACCTCCATCAAAACCAGGCTCAGAACGAGCGGCCATCTGCTTCAACCAGCTGGGTTTGAGAGGACAGGAAGGAGGAACGGATACACAATGGCAGGTCCAGAATGGAGGTGAGCAGGTCCCTCACTAGGAGGAAAGATAAAAAAAACATGTTAAGATAGAAACAATTACAAATACAAACTCTTCATTGGATGAAATGAGGTCAATTTGGCCTCCAGTAGTCTAAGCCTATAGCAGCATAGGATAAGGGATAGCTCAGGAAACCGAGCTAACCGTAACTATAGGATTTATCAAAAAGGAAAGTCTTAAGCCCAGTCAATGTGGACAATGTGTCAGCCTCACGGACAGAAACTGGAAGTTGGTTCCACTAGAGAGGAGCCTGAAAACTGGAAGATCTTCCTCCCATTCTGCTTTTGGAAACTCTAGGAACCACAAGTAAACCTGCAGTCTGAGTGAGCTACAGAGAAGTGGTCAAATATCAGCCAGTTATACCAGAAGCTTGTTGATGGGTACAAAAAGTGTGTGGCCGAGAAATAATGCGGGGGGTGTATTTATATATTTGAGCTTGCATGTATAAGTTTTGACTCGGTGGATTAGAGATAATCCCATCAGTTGAAACTTATGTACCCAGTTCTCGTTTAAAATACCGGTACTTTAATAATAACCTCTGGGCTTTTGCTGTAAATCATACTTATTCTGAAGAATGACCAAATGTTTATGATTTTCTTGTTAACTTTAATTTGTAGTTATGTTTAAAATAATCCGCCCTGCTGTTCCCAGGTCCTGCAGCTGTGGATGTTTCCTGCTCGTGTGTGAGACCTGTGGGTGATGAGCAGCAGGAAGACCTCTCACTACAGCCAGTACTGAGCAGCAGGAAGACCTCTCACTACAGCCAGTACTGAGCAGCAGCCACATCGTCCCTCCCCTCTAGTAGACTCTGGCAGCGGGGTAAGAGTTTAGTTGTTCCATTCTTTGGATGTACAAAAGATAAATGGAAACTGTTAAAAACTTGATCATGTTGTCAGACTTGGCTGAGTGTGAGGTTTGCAGTGAGGTAGGTCTCGTCAGTGAGCCGAGGTCCAGCTCTTCCTCTCTGCAGGGCAGGATGGAAACATCATTTGGCCCCACGTTCTCAGCTGTGGCCTCTGGATCTAAAGGTAATCCTCCTTTTTTTTTTTTTGAATTCTTTCCGTTTTTCTTGGATCTTAGAAACTCCCTGCCCCTCGCCTTATCTCCTCTGAGCTGTGCTTTCACATGTTTTCAGCTGAAGGAGCCAGCACGTACAAACAGCACAGAAGAACTCCCTCCTCCTCCTCGAGCACTCTAACCTACTCCCCCCGTGATGAAGATGAAGGAATGGTAAACCCCGCCTGACTAAACTGATCATTTATCAGGGTCAGATACTCCTCAGTGATCTTGACTGCACGGAGCTGCTGTTGATGTAAGAATGATTATTTTCCCTGAACTCAGCCTCCCATCGGCACTCCTCGAAGGTCTGATTCAGCCATCTCAGTCCGCTCGCTCCACTCCGAGTCCAACATGTCGCTGCGCTCCACGTTCTCTCTGCACGAAGAAGAAGAAGACACGGTATGTCACTGCACTGAACCGTAAACACAGACTTGGCAGATGTTCCACAGATGTTTGAAGTTGTTCTCACAGAAACGGTGTAGAACAGGAACCTAAGCATGGCTGCCAGGGTAACACATGGCTTTGTGTTTGCGAGCAGGAGCCCCAGGTGTTTGCTGAGCAGCCCTCGGTAAAACTCTGCTGCCAGCTGTGCTGCAACGTCTTCAAGGACCCCGTCATCACCACATGTGGGGTGCGTCCCTTTTCCACACTTTTAATCCGCCCCATTTATCTGCTTAGTTCAGTCACTCTGCCCAGCTCTGATCTGATGCCGAGATGAAACGTTTGTTGTGTAAAGCATGAAGCAGTTTCTTTAACTTGAGCTTCAAATGGTAAACTACACAATGTAGAAATGTTGCCTTACCACAGAGACGTCGGTCATTTAGGGAACATCAAAAACAGTTAACATTTGTTTTATTTTGAAAAGTGTAACGATTTGGCTACTCCGAGAAGGCAGAATAATATTTGTTAAATAGGAGGCATAATGTGTCATTTTTGTTATTTTAATGACTTTAACTGCGGGATGTCCAGCCCCTGAGCTGCTGGCTTTCAGCAACTGTGCCCCCCTGAGGAGTTTAGTCGAATAGCTCGATTTTAAAGCATAAATGAAGTCATTTTTCTTTCTGGTTCTCTTCCCATGCAGCACACCTTCTGCAGACGCTGTGCCTTGACTTCAGGTGAGTCCTGACCAGAACCCAGCAGAGTCTTGTCTCACAATAAAGATTAAAACATTTCAATTGATCAGAACTTTGTCTTAATTGTGCTCCTCACAGATAAGTGTCCTGTGGATGCTGCGAAGCTGACCGTGGTCGTGAACAACATCGCTGTGGCCGAGCAGATCGGAGAGCTGTTCATTCACTGTAAATACGGCTGCAGAGCCACGACCGGCAGCGCGACTGGAGCTGCTGCCGCCACAACCTCTGTGGCGGGGAAAGCTGGAGCGTACGAGGTGGACCCACTAGGCTGCCCGTTCACCATCAAACTATCTGTGCGCAAGTACGACCCATTGTTCGCCACAATGTCAGTGTTTGAGCTTCACAGCGTCTGGGCTGCCAGTTTAATTCATCCCAGTGTTTGTGTTTTTGTGCAGTGAACACGAGGCCATGTGTGACTACAGGCCAGTTCGGTGCCCCAACAACCCATCCTGCCCCCCCCTGCTCACCATGAACCTGGAAGCTCACCTCAAGGAATGCGAGCACATCAAGTGTCCTCACTCCAAATACGGGTGAGTCTTCAGAACGTCTTAAATTACTTCCTCTGTTGATCAACAAGCAGATATTTACAAAGATTGCATAAATACATATAAATACATATATATACATATATATATATATGTATACATATATGTATATATGTATACATATACATATATGTA